ATTTTTTACACTGATTGAAGTGAAGTGATCTTAAGTTAACTTCGCTAAAAATGATCGAATAAAGTCTTAAAACATTTTCCAACTCAAGAAATGAGATGCAAATGATCTTAGCCAAAAGTTTGATAAGCGATGTTTGCCAAAAAATTATTTAAAAAAAAGTTTTGATGTGCTGAACAAAATTCAGCACATTTTTTTGACACTTTCAAATTGAAAAACTTGGTTACCAAAGAAACAAGTTTTGACTTGTAACAAAAATACTCAACTTGTAATAACAGTTGGTGGTACAAAATATCAAGGTTGATCAACTTTTGACGAATTACATAAATTATGCAGACTCTGAAAAATAATTGGTCGAAACACAGCCAGCTATTCCCTCATGTTTTTCTTTCCCTCATGTTGGTCAAAACCTAGCCAGTTTGAGTCGAATCAGTCGAAACATAGCGCACTTGGGTTGAAATCAGTCGAACACTTTTTTCCTTTGGTCGAGTCAATCGAACAAAAACCAGTTTGAGTCCAGACGGACAAAACATAGCACGCTTCAATGTGACAAAACATAGCTATTTTAGGTCGAGTCATTCGAAACATATCTCGAACACATCAACTCGGGAGAGTTTCCCCAGGTCTTTTGGGAATTTGAAAGTTATTAACAGACTTCGTAGATGCACTAAACAATACTATTACGCATGAAAAATAGACGGCGTCTCGGAAGAAAAACGACTCTAAAAGTAGCTCATTTGGAATCATCCCACTAATTATGGAATGAAATGTAAAAGAGTATAGAAAATTTTTGAAGTCAAAATGAGGGGAATAATAATTGAAGAGAAATAATTGTTCCATTATTGATTCTAGACTTTCTTTTATAGAGCAAATTACCAAAATTAAAAATAAATTGTCAAAGTTTTGTGGCTTGTTTACACGTTGAGAAAAAATTTGGGTAAAGATCATTACTAAAAGCTTTTAACGCTGATGTGAAACTAACTTTATCGTACGTGGTTTTGCTTTATGCGTCGAATGACAAAATTAAATTGGAAACAGTTGATATTACAGCAAACTACTTTTGAAAAACTATTTGCTTCGAGAGAAGCAAATATTCAGTCCAACAGCGCTTGTTATGAAGGCCCCAGAACTACCCACTGCGCAGTTTCTACCAAAAGTGGCTGGCAATATGCAAATATTCAAATTTTTAAAATAACGGACTTATTATAAAAGTAAACAGATCTTTTCAAATAGCGGTCTTTAAAAAAACTGATTATCACATAGAATAAATTCAGTAATAATGAATGCTTCTCAACCAGAAAACTTCAAAGCGAAGATGAAAGACATCAATTTGCGAGCAATTGAAAAATGGGAGGATATTGTAGATAACCATTGCACCCAAACAAAAAACTCAATTATATTCTTTACGAGCTTTCTATCCGATAGTTACTTAAATTGTCTACCTCACTTTGAGATTCACTCTGGGAGACTTCAGCCATCCCATAGAAGATATTTCTCAATTATGACCATTGACTCAATATATCCTATTTATGATGAAAAGCGATAAAACATACTGCTACGATTGCTTCTGTCCCCACATCAGTAGAACCATAGCAGTTGTATAAAAAACTAAAACTTTAAACTGACCTTTAAACTCAAAAGCTTATCACAACCGATGGATCCACCCTGATTGAAACTCGTTTTATTCAATTTCTATTTTTATCTTACTTTCTTTTGGATTCTGATTTTTTAAAGCGTTTACTATACACCCTTATCATGATCCTCACACATTACTATACTCCCCCATAAATGTTTTTTTTTTCTTCAAAATTGATCCACTTATCTGACTAGACCAGTTTTTACACTGATTGAAGTGAAGTGATCTGAAGTCAACTTCGCTAAAAATGATCGAATAAAGTCTTAAAACAATTTCCAACTCAAGAAATGAGATGCAAATGATCTTATCTAAAAGTTTGATGAGCAATGTTTGCCAAAAAATTCAGCACATTTTTTTGACACTTCCAAATTGAAACAATTGGTTACCAAAGAAACAGGTTTCGACTTGTAACAAAATTATTCAACTTGTTATACTAGTTGGTGGTACAAAATATCAAGGTTGATCAACTTTTGACGAATTACATAAATTATACAGACTCTGAAAAATTTTTGGTCGAAACAGAGCCAGCTTTTCCCTCATGTTTTTCTTTCCCTCATGTTGGTCAAAACCTAGCCAGTTTGAGTCGAGTCGGTCGAAACATAGCGCACTTGGGTCGAAATCAGTCGAAAACCTTTTTCCTTTGGTCGAGTCAATCAAACAAAAGCCAGTTTGAGTCCAGACGGACAAAACATAGCACGCTTCTATGTGACAAAACATTGCTATTTTAGGTCGAGTCATTCGAAACATAACTCGAACACATCAACTCGGGAGAGTTTCCCCATAATTTGAAAGTTATTAACAGACTTCGTAGATGCACGAAACAATACTATTTAGCGTGAAAAAAAGGCGTCGTATTGGGAGAAAAACGACTCTAAAAGTAGCTCATTTGGAATCATCCCACTAATTATGGAATGAAATGTAAAAGAGTATGGAAAAACTTTTGAAGTCAAAATGAGGGGAATAATAATTGAAGAGAATTAATCGTTTCATTATTGATTCTAGAATTTCTTTTATAGAGCAAATTACCAAAATAAAAAATGAATTGTCAAAGTTTTGTGGCATGTTTACACGTTGAGAAAGAAATTGGGTAAATATCAATACTAGAAGCTTTTAACGCTGATGTGAAACTAACTTTATCGTACGGGGTTTTGGTTTATGCGTCGAATGACAAAATTAAATTGGAAACAGTTGAAAATACAACAAACTTCTTTTGAAAAAAATTTTGCTTCGAGAGAAGAAATGAGAGCATAGAAGAAATAAGACGGAGCGAAAAAAAAGTTACATATCTATAAATTATTAAAATTGCTTTGTAAAATTTTAAAAAAAGAGTGCATCTCGACCATAGTTCAGAAAGCTGAAACAAAAAATTATTCAAAAAACTTCGGATAAAAAATTTTCATCTGGGCATATACTTATTTTTACAAAAATCAATCGAAAAACTTCAAAAAAAAACTTTCAAATAACAAAAATTAGAAAAATTTTCAACTTCGTTTCAAATCAATACCCAGATGTTGCACACAATATCAATTATATATCTTCAATCATGAGTCTGTGGACAACTTCATTCGATGAAATTATCAACTGGTTACACTCATTTTTGAGTAGAAATAACATAACAAAAAAATTGCCGTCAAGGTAAGGTATACTGCTGAACTTTTTTTTGGTTTTGCTTTACAATTTTTTTCTTGCATTGAATCAGTTTTTAAATGATTTGTTGATTAAAAGTTTTTATTAAAGACCAACAGAAGACATAACATGAGCAGAGGCGCTTAAAATGGGCTGCAAAGTTCCACCGTTTTCTCGCAATGAGACTTCATTTGGTTCTAAATGTACTGAATTTTACAGTAAAAAGGTCTCCTTTGCAAACAGTTTCATATGACAACGCCACAAGCAAAACTTGTGTTATAGTATGAACTCTCTTTTTATCGTTGGAACGCAAGTATTGTTGCGTCGCAAATATTGTTGCGACAAAATGTGTTCATTTTGATCCAATGCTAAAGATATTAACACAGATTTTCATATTACAAACAGCACTTTAGCTTCAAGGTATCATGTAGCTTAGAGGTAGGGAAGGAGACTCGCAACAATTTAGGAGGGTTTGAACCTGGGCAGGGTCGGATGTTTTCATGAACGGATGCTTCAATTTTATACTAGCTTTAAAGCGTCCTTTCTATAAATTGAAGCTTGATAGTTGGTAAATTTCTTTTTTTTTTCAAATTGACTGGTACTGCTAATGCGTCATAATTGACTTGCGTCACTTAGCAATTATATAGACTCAAATTTTAATTATTCAGTTTTTCCCAGTAGCGTTATCGGTCATATTTTGGCTTGTGTACGCGAAGTGCAATTTCGCCTCTGTGTTATTTATAATTTTTATAATTGTCTCAGTTTTTGATCAATTTATGAATTAAATTTCAGCTCTCGACCATAGCCCGCAAATTATAGCTCTATTATATTGAAATCTTGGTGTGTGGGTTATAGTTGTTTGCTGTTAGCAGGGGCGGATCTAGGATTTTCTCGAGTGGGGGGGGGGGCGGATTTTCAAAAAAAAATTTCGAAAATTTTGTCGACGTTTTTTTAGGTCAACCAAATTGATTTTTCGAGCTCCCCCAAAGCACTGTTTTGTCCCTATGTTGGATAAATTTTCTGCGCCGCAGGCAAAATTTTGGAAAAAAAACAGGCCAAAAACGGCGTTTTTAGGCACTTTTTGGAAAGTTTTTGACCAAAAAAATGCGTTTTTTGGCGCGCGCTCCCCTCTCAAAGTTAGTATATATTGGCGCCAAAGGCGCCTTTAAAACAATTTTAGGGTCCATCACCAAAAATGAATATCTCAAAAGAGTACAAAGGGGGGACCCTTTGTGTCGGCAGTGGGTCGAATCCCTGAGGAGAAAAGCATCCACCCCCCCCCCCCCCCACCCCCCCGTCGCCCCCCCCCCCTAAATCCGTCGTTAGTATGTGAAGACTATTAGGTAAGAGAGCCTAACTTTCAACTAACGAAAAACATAAAGCGGAGAAGCATCACAGAAAGCTTTAGAAAGCGCCGATAAGCTTCAACTGATTATTAAGTTTGATAGGGTTTGATTATGCAAGGTTGGGCAAGAACTGGCACCATGCTACAATTCGTAACAGGCGACAATTTGTAACAAAGCATGGTAGGTAGCGTTGGGTTGATCCGCTTCGCTCAGCTGCGCTTACATCTTGCACAAGAGGATTACTGCGCCTGAATCAATGTGTTGCTCGCTTATTATACTGTTATAAATTGTGACCTGTTGAACGAATTGTCGCCTCACGATTATACAATTGTGCTTGTGTTTTAGTTGAAAGTTAGGTTCTTTCACAAATGCCATTTAGATCGAAAATATTTTAGCACATGTACCCATTGGAAGAGAGACTCCCAGTGTTTCAAAGATTTGGTAACCTCCCTCTATCTTTTCACGTGAGTGCCACATACATTACACGCACTAATCAAACATTTAGACTCCACTATCAAAATGAGTTAAAACAAATGCATTAGGTGTATGGCCAGAAGCTGAACCGGACTTCTGTGGCTGCCCTCATTTCTGTGCTCTTAATTGGACTAGTTGGTCGTATCTGGAGTCTCGCAGATCTCTGACCTGGGGCAAACTCATTTACACAAAGTGCATCATGCTAAATTACTCATTCTTCACCACATTTATCCGACCGAACTTAAAAACAACAGTCATATCAAAATGATAATAAGAAAGAAATTTGGATGTCATCAAAATCTCTTCGTGGTTCCGCACTGCATGCTACTATTATGGAAGCAACTAACAGGAAATGATATATATATTTTTTAAATTAAAATAGGTAAACTAAGTTTTTTGAGTGAATCTAGTTAGAGGAGTTCGTGTGTGCAGTTGTAGGTTTGCTCGTATCGCTTCCTCCCAAAATGAAATGAGTCTTTCTACTGTGGTATGTGGGTGTCAGGGTGTACCTGTCGTTTCTCAGCTCCCCTATCAACTCCCCTCCCCCTCCTTTCTGTCTGTTGATCCTGGGGCGACACATAGGCACAAAACTGGAGATGACTCCTTGTCCTAATGTTTTCGTCATCAGATTACACAAAGCTAGCTCGTCCTCTGTCAATAGTAAAGAGGCTTTGAAAGAAAGTTAAAAGAGTTAGGGAAAAAACATCCGTAAGCGATTGCTTTTCTTCATAAAAATAAATTGAAAGACAAACTCGAAAGGTTATTTTTGTTTTTTCGATAAAGCCAAAGTTTTTCTAAAATCACAGTATCAAAAAAAAATAACTTAAGAAGAAGCAAGTTCTAAGAAGAAAAAACAAAAACATATAAAAAGACGCTTACCGCTAATTTCTGGTCTGCTGAACATGAACTTGACTGTGGGATGTCCAGGCACCGGTCTCGCGTGCCTCTCCCCCAGCCCCTTCTCCTTCAGAGCCCTGTAGTAGGCTGCCTTCTTCTGCCCAATCGTCTCCGTGAACGAATTGTACTGACGCGTATTCAAATTCCTCGCTTTGGTCAGTTTGATTTTCCTCAGAATCGCTTCTTTTTCTATATCTTCATCGTGCGTGTGTCGCGATCTTATTTTCATGGGGATTATTTGGCCCGTTCCAAAAAGTCCCTCATTCGTTTTCAGTGCTTTTGTTGGTTTTGGTAACTCGATATTTTGGCCTAAATCGGGATTTGATTTTCGGATTTGTTTTTCAAATGGAGTGTTCGATGGCACGAGCCACAATTTCGGGTCATAGTATGACTCCATTCGTGTTTCAGATTTTAAGACTTCAAATAGTTTCTACAACTACAAATCAAAATACTCATACCAAATATTCTGCCGTTAAACGATGTTCAGAATTAAACAACAAAGCAGCACATTCAAACGAAGCTTTATTTGATTTATTCTTTCGTTTTTTTATTCACGTTCTTTCTTGTTCTGAGCTTGATTTGAGATGGTAACTTTTCTGACAGGTAGACCAATGATATGCTTCAGATATGGTCCAGAAAATTATGTGGAAACTTGTTTACGGAACGGTTCCTTGAACCAGTTTGAAAAAAGGTGTACCTGTAAAATAATGTTAGCAACTGATGAAACTTTGAAAAGTTTGTTTTTAGAGTTGTATTGATAGCTTAATTTGATTCGCTAAAAATAACGTTTTTTGAAGCAAGCCAGTTGACTATGAAGTTTTCAAGTATTTCAAATTGAAGCATTGACATGAAGCGACTTTGAAATATTTCGAGTGGTTTTGATAGCTTGGACTTGTCGATTGGAAGCTATGTGTTTTTCATTTTTACCCTTTTCAGCTCGAATCGAGTTGATGAAATGGATTTTACCGATGAACTATTCGGTGCATGATATTTATAGGATTCAATACTGAAAAAAGATTTGAGAAAGTTTTTTCAGGCAAGCTATTCAAGTCATTGACCAAAATGGTTTCGGATTGATTTAAATTGATTTTAAAACGATTTTAAATCGATCCAAATTGATTAACAAGTACATTTTGGGAGCTGTAATGGATCTTTAATCGATTTAAAATGATGGATTTAAGAATCTTTAATCTTATTTGGATGGATGTGAGTGTCTAAAGATCAATTTAAATCATTTTGGATGGATTTTTCGACTAGCTAAAATTCACCGAATCTTGCCAAAATCTATTTAAATCCATTTTAAAAGATCTCTGGATCAGATCAACTTTAATGTCTAAAAATCTATTTAATTACAATTTAAGTAAAAACCTATGAAACAAATCAAGAAAATCGTCAAAGTAAATCATCTTTTGAGCTCAAAAATGTTCTACAATATCATAAAAAATAATCACTATAGGCCAGATTTTGAGCAAAATCAAATATAACAAATCAAGAAACGGTTCGATATGAATCAGATGACAACTTAAATCATTTTCAAACTGGAATGAAGTTTTAAAACTATTTGGTCTCTTCATCTGCTACTAGACGCTGTGGATGTAAAATCAAAATTGATTGGCAGCGAAAAAAGGAAATTCAAACTCAAAACCTATTGAAATTGAAAATTTTTCTAAAAAGCAAATCAACCTAAATTGTTTTAAACTCGTTTTCACCCCCCCCCCCCCCCATTTTAAATCAAATTCGGATTTAGGATGATTTTAAATCAAATTTAAATTAATCAAATCAATCTTAATCTTTTCTTTTTGATCTGAATTTTTTCCATGCTAAAATTGATCTGCTTACTTCTTGCTAAAACTGATCTGCATGCCTTTTTCGAGCTAAAATTTATCCTAATCCATTTTTGTCAAGGCCGGAACCCTTCAAATTTTGGAGCTCTTATTGTAGCTTGAAATGACTTGATACAAGCTACAGAAACTAAAGTATTTAAGCATTGAAATTGCTTTGATAATTTAATCTGATGAAAAATTAATGTTTTTATGAAACTATTGTCGAAAATTTGAAGTAATTTCTAATTAGTTTCATTGCTTGAATCAATTCACAAATTTTGTTCAAACAAGCTATTCAAATGATTTAATGCCGAACAGCTCCAACTTGATCGATTTGTTCGCTACCTTTTGATGCATGCTTAAGTGCATGAAATTTTGCAATTACAGTTGTTCATTTTTAGATAATTGGAGCTGGTTGATCAATTGCTACCTTTTTGAAGCAAGCTCATCCAGCGAAAAAAAAATTACTTAAGAATGTTAAGCAACGTACCAAACCTTTAAACTCTGTTAAAGTTCAAGTAACTTGCATAGCTCAAACTCGTCGGCAAAAGTTTCAAGCTTTTCAATCTATGAAAAAAAAACAATTGAATTTTTTTTGTTAACCTGAATCAGCCACCTGTAAACTGGAAATACCAATCTTGAAGCAAGTGAAGTTGCTTTGATAGCGTGAAATGAATGATGCGCTAACTATTTAAAGTTTTTGAAACTTACAAAGCTAAAGTACGAAACGGTTTTGATAGCTTGATGTGATTTGCAAAAAGGTTAAAAAACTTGACGCTGAACTTTTTACGCTATTAGACCTTGAATTTGTGAGCTTGCTTCAAAGGCTTGTTTAGCTGACACTGAATTGTTTTTGATGTAAATTATCAACCGACGGAACAAATTTAATAGCTCGAAAAAACCTCTGAAGATTTTTGAAGCAAATCATCAAACAAAATTTTTAAATAGCTTTAATTGACTCGCGAAAACTTCGGATCTTTTGACAATTTTGGCTAAAAATACTAGCAGACATTTTCAAAGTAGGCTATCAAGCTACATCAACCATTCAAACAGGTACCGACCGCTTTTTTCTGCAATACTACTTGAAGCGTTTCATCCCTTATGTTGTGTCTGTGAACAAAAACTGCCAATTTTTGTAGGCTATCAACATTTTAAAGCTGTCCAATACTTTGAATTGTTTAATTATTTGGTTTTTTTTGAAAAGTTTTCAACAATTCAAGCTATTTGAGTTACTTGAAAAGTTTATTGGTTTCTCATCTGTAGCTTGACTCAGAAAACTTACCGTTTTACGAACCGATTTTGTTGTTCAACAAACTCAATTGTTTCAAACCTTTCTTGCTTGAATCCAAAAAAAATTACCTCAATTACAAGCTATGAAAACACTTTGAAATTGTTCTGAACTCCCCAAAAGATTCGGTGAAAAACGCTTATCTGGAGCAAGCTAGTTGGCGCAGACATTTTGAAAAATTTCAGTTTTTTAAGCATGAAATGGTCACAAGAATTTTTTTTTGGCAGCAATCTTTCGACTCATGAAAATGAAATGTTCAAAGCTGTTTTAATTTAAATAATTGTCTGCTATGGATTGCAGTTTTTCGAAGCAAACTATTGCGCTACAAATCTTGGAAACGCTCAAGTTGTTTTAATAGATTGAACTGGTTTGTAAAAAAATAACAATTTTTGACGCATGCTGGTCTAGTGATGAAACATGAACGTACTTAAAGTTGGTTTAGTACTTGGACGTCGTTCGAAAAAGCATTAAAATTTGGATTCTGATTGATTATTACAGTCAGATAAAATTTTAGAATTAGATAAAAATCAAGAAGCAAAAAACTACCAGAAACTAATAACAGATTGATTTGATTCGATTGAAAAGTGGTTTTCTCAGTTCGATTGGTGTGAGATTTCTATTCTGCGTGTCTACACAACTTGTTCAATATTGGTTGGTTTTTTCGGCTCTTATCATAAACTATGAGCCATCAAAATCTTGGCTTGAACTAGTTGGGTTATGGGCATGATTAACCCTTGCAGGTTGTGAGCTCGCTAAATATCCGTAGGTTGATTTTAAAACCGAAAAATCAATAATAAATTCGTATTCTCCGCAATACAAAATTCATCGGCAATATTGATAATATCATCCAAAATCTGCTCTAAAACAAGTTCATAAATTCATCAATCATCAGATTCAATAAAAACATTGGCGCAAGCTAGCCACAAGAACCGGTCGGTAGTGTCCTTGAGACAAATTGCTCTTTTTGGCGGTCAGCCTTAATCAAGGCTGAACCGAATTAGAACAAAAAAAAACAGTTAAAATAGGATGTAACCCCCATTTTTAGTATATTAATAGATGGGAAGGTGGAGGACTCGAACCTTTATCAACTGGCAAGTTTATATATTCGGTACGTTAGCTTAGGCCGCTCGGCCAACTGTGCTTTTACAGTTTTACATTTTGGTCCAATCATATTCAACTTGTGCATTTATACTCTCGCTTACATTTGCGTTGCAACATACTCCCCCCTGAAGAAGAAAGAACCGGAGCCGTTACACTTTGGTCCAATCATATTCAAGCTTATGCATTTATACTCTCGCTTACATTTGCGTTGCAACATCCTCCCCCCTGAAGAAGAAAGAACCGGAGCGAGCTTAACGGTCGGCCGAGTGACTTCACGGGTTGCGGTCTTAACCAGGGCGGATCGGGCGCAACCGTCCTTTCCGTAGTATAACTTGACGATTCGGGCAAGATGGTAGTACCCACGCAGACTATCGGGCTCAATCACCCACACGCCTGTCTTAAGAGTGGAGGCAGGTTGAGTGTGCCTATTGACACGCTTAGTCAGTGAGGGAACATATTCGCGAAGCCAACGAGACCAAATAGCGTTAGCATACGACTGCGCTTGCACGTACCTTTTCTTGTGGTCGAAGTACTCCCCAGGTAAAAGCGAAGGAAAGCTTGTAGCATGTTGTCCAAGCAAAAAGTGGTTTGGGTTAACGCTTTTAAGTCACGTGAATCAGTACTAACGGGATTGATTGGTCTCGAATTCAAAGCCTGCTCAACTAAGCAGAGCGTTGTTCCTAACACCTCTTCGGTGACTCGCCTACTGCCTAGTATATCGTAAAGCACCGCTTCACGCTTCGGACAAAGCGCTCTGAGGAGCCGCCATAATGGGGTGCGCCTGGCGGGTCAAATTTCCAAGCAATACTTTTGTGTTCAAAAATGGTCGGAGCCATGCCTTTCGAGCTCTTGATGCAGGCAAGTAGTTCCTTTTCCGCAACAACGAAGTTCATGCCGTTATTCGACCAGATCTTGCTTGGTGTACCACGACGCGCAATGAACCGTTCAAGGTCCATGACACAAGAACTAGTGTCCAGAGATGGTACAATCTCAAAATGTACAGCCCTGGTGGTAAGGCAAGTGAAAAGAAATCCCATCTTTTTTTAGTGCTTCTGCGAACCGGAACGTAAAGCGGTCCAAAGTAATCCACACCCGTATGATTAAAGAGTGGTTGCTATATCCGAGACGTTCGACAGGTACATCGGACATAATTGACTGGATGGTACTTGCTTTCCATTTACGGTATGTTACACATTGACTTTCGATAGACCGAAGTAGTTCTCGCAACCCAAGTATTGCATATTTCATATTTGAAACGGAGCGCATGTAATCTAAACCTTGATGAAAGTGTTTGTGGTGGAGGCTGCCGGTCAACAAACGAACTAGGGTATGTCGGGC